CCGTATTCAGGAATATCCTCGAGTCGGAATGCCATCCGGTGAAGTAAATTTTCAGGCAAGGAGGTACGAACGTTTTGAAGGGTTAGGATAAGACGATCCATCTGACTTTGAACGGCTAGACATGTGCTAGGACCGTTGGGATTGTACGATTCATTCGGGCCGGCAGGGGAGGAGGGTTAAGGTCCCGTCTCTGTCTGTGTTGATAACCCGTCAGACCCAACGCTTTTTTGTTTTGTTTTTTCACTTGGTGGTTGGAATCCGAGTGGTTCCAGGCTGGCAAGTGTCAGGGTTTTGCCGGGCCGGGCCGTGTTGATGTTTTGAAATGGATAGATGTGTGTCTATGCTTACTCGTTTTGCCCGTTTTAGGGGATATGAAGTTCCGATGAGGCTTTTTGCGACTGGGATTCAGGGGTAATGTAGGGAGATACGGGGAAAGCTTCCGGGTCAGGGTGTGACTTGTCAAAAGATGGTCGAACTTTGTGTGTTTAGGTTGAGATAAGCGGGAGAGTAGCGTCGCTTTCTATGAGATGACTTGAGGTTAACAATGAGGGATTGGAATGAGCTGTCAAAGTCTTGAGACGGTTTACGTGGGGGTTTGTCGTGTGTAAACAGAGACAACGTGAACCTGTGGTTTGGGGCCTATAAAACGGATGTGCTCTGCGACAATAATTTGACTCTTCCCAGCCACGATGTATCCATGAAAGCGTATTCGCCAGAGCCTAGGCGCAGGGTGGGTGTATCCCGCGTTTGACGTACGCCTATAGTCCAACGAGTCGATGCTCGTGGGGAAGATATTTCTTTCGGTGTGTTTGGTACTTATGAATAGAATGGACGGCCTGGCGACCACTGCGACATGTGGTGTGCCTCTGAACCGATCCGCAGCGTGAGGAAGAAGCAGTACTCACCACAGGACTATTCAAACAGGACACAGAGCCAAGAGACATTTTTGCTGCACACTGTTCTTTCTATGCTTCCCCCTTCGCTTTTTATATAGGCGTACAATATCCTGCTTAACTTCCAGTCGTCAAGCAGGACGTCTTGTAAAATAAATGAGATATTGTGTAGCTGCCTAAGCTAGAAAGAGAGTTAGCCCAATGAAATCATTGTTATGCTATAGATTTGTGTCTATGGGTTCAACTAACTCAAACGTAGTGATCGGTCATACCCCTAACATGTCTTGAGCCAGGAGTCTTGAATCAGTCTTCTTATTGTAAGTATTCAGAAACGGATACTTGGATAATGGAGTTGCCGGCCATGGGCAAGATGACGATGGTCGTTGTCTTCGAACTTCAAACAGATGCCTGAACGTAGGGGATGTGCTCTTAACTGCGAACTGTAAGAGAGACTCAAATGATGCAGTTCCAGTCCAATGCTTGCGGGGCGCAAAAGTGTCAAGAATGCTGCTGTCAAGATAGTATACACTGTTCTTTGTAAATTTATGCACAGTATTGTCCATGGTGAGAATGTGATGTACGGTCGTCAGTCCGCGGCATATAACTTAGAGGAAGCAACCTAAGATGTTCAGGGACTGGACACGATGTAGGGCTTCCGAGCGGCAGTTTTATAGATCACAGCTGCATACCTACGCTACTCATAAAGAGTGGTATCACCATCTTCGCAAGAAGCCCGTAGCAGCTCATTAGCTTGATCTGGTTTCTCTGTATTCCAGTTGAATACTTTCGTCCAGACTAGGAACACAGCAGACGACCAATCTGCAAACCACCGCCGCAGAAACACGGCCGTAAGACCTTTCGCATCGGCTCTTCCATTCTCATTTCGGTGAAGATTTAGAATTAGGGGCAAAGGAAGTCAGCCTTGACATTTAAAGGATTTTCTGGTGGTCTGGGAAGTTTTCTAGGAGACGACATCATGGTTTATTCAACACTCACCATAACGCTGTTCAACTATTACAAGAATCGCGGGAATATTCTTCTGATTACAATACACTATAGGTTTGGTTGCAAACTCAGCAACGAGGATGAGACTTGAATCATCGCAATGTTACCACTCTGCCGACTGTTGGGGTTGAGTTTGCTGTTTTGTGGGTTGAGGGCTTTCTGTCTAAGGACCAGACTTACAACAGAGAAGCAACATCCATCTAGAATGCAACGCACGGTAGTCATGAGATTGATAGTATATCTCAAATTCTCTGTTTCTGTTTTCCCACGTTTGATCAGCCTATTAATTAGGCTATAGAGGACTGTACCTTGCTTTACAGGCATGGCCTTCCTGTGTAAGGCGATAAACAGTTTTCGTTTCGTCAAAGCTGGTAACTCTATGGTAGCTTGAGAAACCTTAAGAACTAATACGTAACGGCACCTCACTGTGTTAGCAAAAATCTTGAATAGTAGTGGTGATATTAATACATACTACTTTCCAACTACTCCTTATGTCCGAAGCTTGCCCGTCTCTTCCTCCAGGCTTCTGACGGAGAGTCCGGCATTTGCAAATGGTCAAGACCCATCTTTTAAGCTCCCACGCTTTTCTGCCGGCGTGTTTCATGTATGCGGGCGGGACTGGACATTGACAAGCCTTCGCGGTGTACAACCAAGCCGGTGGCTTTCATCAGTTATCAATCCGAGCAAATAAATAGATGTTGTAGCACGACTTTCAATTATCTAGAGCAACACAATCGAACTCACGTTCAATAGCCTAGGTGCGTATAAGCGCGTGCTGATGTAAACCTTGACCCGTTTTCAAGGGTTGCTGGGTTGCTCTCACGAAACTACGTCTCCTGAGCTTGGCAGGTGTGAATCTGGAACCAAGCACTTTGTGACATGGCGGAATGAGATGAATACTTCGTGACCAGAAATACCGAGTGATAGTCAGCCGCGAGTGCTATAGCAGGTGATGTTGACCGACGCTAACCAATCGGGGAGTCTTAGGGCCCGAGATTAGATAGTTATAACAGCTGGCATACATAAAATAGATAACGTCGTGCCATATTGGGTTGGAGAGGTAGAATGAACTTTGAAGAGGACTTGAATGTGGGTACCAACTAAGGGTGGTCTCTTCAGAGTACCCTAACTTTGGTATATAACACGTTGATGCTGAACGCTGGGAAAAGGTGTTAGAGATAGGACTAATTCCACTGCGTTTGGCTGGTGCAGTGACAACTTGATCATCTTCATCGAACTATGTATCCATGCCTGCCACCTCACGCAAGAAGTGTATGCGCTCTCCGTTTGCTCCTGTCAGCGTCGTTTTATTCCTGATGTAATAAACAGCAGACAGAGACCCATAGTCTGAGAAATAGCATACTAGAGATGCTCGTTCGATATTTTGAGGCCTAATTTTGTTAGAGCTGCGAAGTTGAGTAGCAATACTCAGTGGTGTCAGGTGAGTACTCAGCTATATTGTGTGCTTGTTAGTAATCAGAGAACACCGCAAGAAGATATTTTATGCCTCTCTCCTCAGCCCGGTACTATGCCCTTGCTGGGGGTGCTTCGCAGCCGTGAGCCGAACAAAGAGCAAGCCGAGACTGAAAGCAAAGGGCATTTTAGAAGGGAAGGTGTCAATTGATATACTGAGATATAAAAGGACTATGAGGAATGGATCGCGTCTTTTGAGGCCAATCCGACCAAACTTGTTCCATGCAGTATCCTGTTGAGTGTCAAACAAGCATTTGGACAAGGCAAGAAAGGAGCAGCCTGTGTCGGTCAGCCACACAGCATTCGACCTACGGGTATTCAGGCATATAGCTAGCCAGAAATAGGGATAAAGGGTAGAACAACTGAGCGAGATATATGAAACCCAGGCATGAAAAGGTTCATCAGCATATGCTTGCGCCATCTAGACTCGGCCTGGAATTCATTGTTGAACAAGACATGGTCTATCGATCTTGGGAAAGCTCAGATATCGTGAATCGATTACTGCTTATATACCAAACGACAACAGTGGGCCCAAATGTGGCCGAGTCAATCAAGTTGCTGTGAGCTGGATGAAAATGAGGCATAAACCATGATAATTGATAAATAACAGCCAGTCAAGGTGCCTTCAAACAAGGCAAAGGGGCAATGTCCAGCCGCCTCAGGCGTTCTTTAATGAGATTGTGATAGCGATGATGCCCTCTGATATCCACAAAATAATGCTGTACATCCGTCGTACGAATTTATCATAATACCTGCTTACTACCCCTTCACCTGCGTCTGTGTCTTTGGATTATCCGGCCTTCGAATAAGACAGAATGAAGGGAGCAACAGCAGAATTGCAAACTTCGTTTTCCGGCCGTGCTGTCGAGCAGCGATGATCGCGAGTCTTGGGCTTGCATCCAAGGCCATTTTAAATATGAATCTTGAAGACGTCGACGATATGACTACCATTCGGTTTGGCGTGGTTCTCACCCGGAATAACTCCATATTTATACACATACTTGCCTCGACTAGCTGACTACCGCCAGCGACGTTTCTCATCATGACAACTACCAACAATCGTTGTCATCATTATGATTTGCCCACTAGAACAGACGCCATGGTTTTCCATGTATCTTCGCGGCCGCGTCCGTTGTGCGCCTGGAGCTCACATCCGGATAGGACATTCCCCGCCTATGTTTCTCTGGAGGTACAGTCTCACGTTCTCCAGGGCCAGTCGGTTGTCAATGGATTTGAAATTTGCCGACTTATACGAAGAGGAAATCACAGCCGCGCGCTGCAACTCGAATCAAAAACTCTTGAAGCGTCTGCCCGTCCGTCCAGTCACAATGTCATCGTCTCTCTGTCCCTGAACGGAACTCCAATGATGGGGAATAAGGAAAAGGGTCACATAAGAAATGCAAGCTAGTTCCCATGCCGCGAGAAGCCCATGCGCCCCGGTATCCAGTGCTATAATTACACATGCCAGCCTCCGTTCGACGCAATCTCCCGTTGATAACCTCATACAAACACAGCATCATGCTCTCTCTCATCTTCTCTCTCTTTCCCCAGGTTACGACTCCTGCGGGACACGTCCCCAGCCGCCGCCGTCCCTACAAACATTAGCCCTCGGGAACTGTTGGCTCCTCCTCACAGGGCAAGGTTGTAGCTATACTCATCCTCCATGTTCTGGCTGATCCAGAGCACGACGCTGCTCAGGCCGACCAGCGCGTTCGCCACCACGTTCTCGATGCCCATGCCCAGCGCGGGCATCCCGACGTCCTGCACAACGAACTTGAGCACGAAGACGGTCACGCCGCCCGCCATGCCGCCCGCCAGCGCCGCGAAGCCGAGGAAGAGCACCACGCGCGCCTTCCACGCGACGCCGTTGCCGCTGTACGAGAAGCTGTCCGCCGACAGCCGCGCCTTCTCGACGCTGTTGATGATGAGCATACCCAGCGACGAGAAGATGAGGGGCAGCCAGTCGACGAAGGTGATGTGCGTGTCGGAGCCGTTCTTGGCCGACTTGGACCAGACCGCCGAGTCGAGCATTACGTAGAAGGCGATGGAGAACTGCAGAAGCGGAGGGAGGTTAGCGGTCGAGTTGTCCTGGAAGGTGGATGGGAGTTGGGACGCAGCGCAGCCGGGTTGGCTACGTCAGCGTCGCTGGGGAAGGGATCGGGAATCAAGGAAGGGGGGAAAGGCTCACCAGAGCTCCGGCGCCGTAGACGCCCAAGTTGCGCGCCCAGATGCTGTTAAGCCACTCCGGCTTGCGAAACTTCCAGAGGCGCTCCTCCTCCATGATTGCGTCGTCCGGGATGGGTGGGTAGCTCGAATAGGTCGGGGATCGATCGCGGTCGCCGACGACTCGGGGCGAAGGGGATTGTTCGGTCGTCGTAATTAATTATATGAAAGCAACCTCACAGAGAGTTGCGATCGGTGCGGTGTGATGGAGATTTCGTCTGCGCCCGATTGTTGTGCAGTTCCGTCGGCGATGTTGAAGGCTGGGAGAAGTGACCAGGTTCCCGAGTGATGGTCGCCTTGACGTTCATCCGGCACAGCTGAGGCGTCACAGTCCCACTGCCTGGTCCCTGCTTCCTGCCGCTTCTTCCGTAGTTTTCCCGAAGAGTCACGTGATGGAGATCGAATCACATGACCTTTGAGCTGCTTCCAAGCCAAGCTTCTATTCTCGTGCTGGCAGGTCTGGGCATCTGGGCAGCAATTGATATTTGTCTGGGCATATGAAATTAAGCTGGAGGCGCCAAGAACCATCATGAGGCTCTTTCACGGATTGTGGTCAAGTATGTGATGCTGTTATCAAAGTGGGCGTTTGCCGGAATGCATAAACACCCAGCGAACCTTTGCGCCCTCAGCTACTTCCCAAAACAGACAATCCCATTCACAGCAATCCAAGACACCAAATACGAAGACTCAACGTGGATACCGGTTGTAGATCCCATCGGTGCGATCCGGTCTTCCCAAGTGTTCTAGGCTCCTTCTGAACCCCATATACACCCCGCAAACACGAATCGGTCCCAGTTGCACGGAATACGAGGTGAAAGAGGGGCATGTCTGCACCCTGAAAAGATATGATGCATCCGCATGTAGATCTCTCGTCAGAATCCCATACGCACATTTTTGCTAGCTGAGCGGGCCCAGTGCATCGTCTTGGCTGTTCTTGTTACCTCTTCACGGCTGGACCACGGAATGGGACTAGTTTATAGCTTAGGCTGCAACAGCCGACCTGTATTGAGGACTATTCCTACGCCCATGCCTCGGAGCGCTCGAGATAAAAAAGTAGACAAAAGGTCCTAATAGTACACTACCAATTACTGGCACGCCTGTGAATGCCAGCGCGTAAGATCATCGCTGCGCATCTCCGTCAGAAAATGAGCCCGTCAGAAACCTCCATCAACTGGGTAAACAGGTTGGTGCAAATGTACGTATGCCACGCAGCTATGTCCATAGACTGCAGAGTACTCAGAATGGAGAAATAACCACTCGGCGTAATCCCGTCTCGGCCCTTTCCAGAGAGAGCCCAGTCAAAAGTGAAAAAAGTAAGAGAAAAAGACTTCAAAAAGCCCAGCCGCCGTGTTCCCTGATGCTCGAAAAAAAAAGTCTTCAATGTTGTATGACCCCTGCAGACGTCCTCTCATGAGATGATTAGAGCCACGGACGCCCCAAACGCCGATTTTTGCTGTATGACGAGCCTTGTTGCGTCACAAGGCCCCGAGAATAGGGGAAACCGTATCGTCGTCCTGTCGTATCCAGTTTTACACACCATCTATATCTCGATCTCCTTCATCGGCTCCTCCGTAACCTCGGGCTGCTTGCCGTTGGCCTTGCCATTCGCCTTCTCGTTGGTGGTGCCGTTCACCTTGGCCTCAGGGTCCTCATTCTCCTTGCCCTCCTTCGCCTCGGTCGTCTCGACGTGCGACAGTAGCGACACACGGGAACCCTTAGGTGTGTCCTCGCTCGGTCTCGGGGTCTCGACTTCAACAAGCTTCGTGGGCTTGAGGCCGTTGGTCTGTAGGTCAGGCAGAGGGGTCTCTTCAGCCACTCGTGCGAGAGGACTAGACTTGCCGTAGCCGGGTCGGATGGGGCTGGCGACAGGTGAAGCACCGCCCAATCGTTGCATCGATCGTCCGCGCTGTTCGCCGTTCGGTTCGGTATTCGTGGGGCTTGAGTACGGGGAGTTGGCGCCAGATCCAGCAGGCGAGCCAGCTCTGTTGGGAGGCACGACCGACTTGCGCTTTGCTGCTCGGCGACCGTACTTCTGGTCCATGCGCCAACGCAGGATACCAAAGTAGGGAGGCTCAACGCGCGCATCCTTGAACTCGCGCAACTTAAGCTCGTTGGTCTCATCGTCCACGAACCACTTGCCGCTGCTCAGATCGTCCGCAACAGTTGCGAGGAAGTGGGCCCAAGACCGAGCAATAACGTACTTGGTGTCGTAGTCGCGGCCGAAAAGAACAATCTGTCCCCATCTGCCGTTGGGGCCAGGTGCGAGATCCACGGCGAGGTTGTTGCCGCCCCAGTCACGGACAAGGGGAATCCACGCGGGGTGGGCGTACGATCGCTGCACAGATCCGGGAGGAACACAATCCTGACGGGCGATGAGGTCCTGACGCCAAGAAGGGTTGTTGGAGGCGGCAGGAGAGGCGGGTGTCCTGGAGGATGAGGGCTGGCCGTTTTCGCTGCCAAGGGCAGCCTTGGAGGGCATGGCGGGCTTGCGGATCGCTGCCTCGGAGAGAAACTCCTGGTTGACCTTGCGCCACTGATCCCATTCCTGGACCATTTCCTCACAATCGAGCAGCATAGAGCCGAAGATGATACCAGTGGGCATACCCAATCGCTCCTGGCCATCGTGGATCATGAGCGATTCTCTCACATCGAGGGGGAGGGAGCAGTCCAGCTGGTGCTCCAATTCGTTGAGGTCGTTGTCAGTGCAGCCTTCGCAGAGCTGGTCGAAGAGCTCAGGGTAGTGCTCCTCAGCCCAAGCATCAATCTTCTTCCACGAGTGGGAGACGGGAGGGGGAGGGGGTGCGCCGTCCTGGAAAGACTGCATCTGCACATCGCCTGGGCTTTGCATCTCGAAGCCGTCAGCCTGACTTGAACGGCGAGCCGACTGGGATCTCAGGCCAGGAGAGTAGGGCGTCGCGGCCGGGTTGGGGCTGGTCGGGGTATTAGGGATGTGGCCGCCATGGTAGCTGCTGTCGCGGGTGAGCCTGTTGTAGCTGTCATCGCCGTAGGGGGAGGAGACATCGGCACGGGATTCGGAGGCGGTCGCGACGGAGGTGAGGATTCCGCTCTGGCGATGGTTCAGAGGGACGTGTCGACCGGTGCGGTAGGGAGAGTCAACGGTCGAGTCTGCAAAAACGTCAGTGGAAATGCAGACGAAAAGGATTAATTGGGAATCGGGACGTACGTCGGTCGTAGCTGGTAAGGTCGTGCCAGAGAGAGCGGAAAGCCGCACCGAGACTGTCAAATCGCAAAGTTAATGTCTCGGTCCCCTTTTGCGTCCCTGAAATGGGACTGGACAAATAAGACGACGGATTTGTACGTACGAAGACGCCATGATTGGCGATGAGGCCCCGGGCCGAAGGTAGACAAGACAGATGAGCTTGATCCGGGATTGAAAGAAAAGACGCGATCGGCCGGTTGCGGTTGTCTTGTTGTGGAAAGGGAAAAAGAATTGAACTGTCGTCGAATTTACGCCTTTGGCCGTTGGCGTTGAAGTTAGGGGGTAGCGGCCGATTCGTCAACGGGAAAGGAAGGACGTCGGTCTGAGTGCGTCCTTGCAGCGGCCCCCTAAAATGGGTCCTGGATGACGGTCGTCGGATCGCAATGAGGTGAATGGGCAGAAGGCGCGCCTGTCACCGAAGCTTGTCGAGGGCAAAAGACTGTCGGGGAGAGTTGAGGGTGAATCTGGTCGCCAAGATGGATTTTGGACGCAGCGCGGTCAAGTCAGGGGCGGGCCGCGAAGGGTTGTAATGAGTGTTTATGTCTGACGGGGCGTGGAATTTTTAGAGTTGGGAACGATGGCGTAGTGAAGTCGCGCTTTCCCACAGTGCAAGTCCAGTCCGACTTCTTCCAAGTGTAAAAAAAAAAAAAAAAAAAAGGGAAGGGGGTGCAGCACGGCGCAGTAGCGTGGGAAGCTACCTTGCAAAATACCTGGCAGCCGGCAGGAAAAAAGAGGCAGGGACGGAGACTGTGAGAGACAGGACAGGACGGCCCAGGGTGTGCGTGTGTGTGGACTGTGGGCTGTGGGTGAGGACTGAGGAGGTGGGTGGTCTGGCGGGTAGCTGACTTTGTGGCACTCCAGGGGAAAGAAGGGGCCCCGGTGTTAGTGGGAGTGGAGGGTGAGTGTGTGCTGGGAACGAGCGAGAGAGGGGTGTGTGGCCGCCTGCTGTACCGTAGGTAGTGGACCTTTCAGAACCGTTTAGGAGAGAAGGGGTCCCCTGGTTTCTCCTTTCTCGGTGCAATGAGGAAGAAGAATAAAAGATAAAACAAGCGTGCAGTGCTTTCCTTGCCAAGCAGAGATTACAAAAGCAAGCCTGGCCTGAAGCAACGACGTAAACAGCGAGGGGCGAGGCAAACAATGCGCTGGCTCAAGTGGGCGACGACGTAGAGGCAAGCGAGTGTCGGTCGGTGAGTTCGGTGTCGAGAGCGAGTGATTCGGGTATGCGGCCACAGCGAGTGGAATGAGTTGAGGCAATGACGGAGGGAGGGGTGGATGAGGGAGGAAGAGAAGACGAGGATGAAAAGAACCCGTGTGGTGTTTAACAACAATGTCGAGATAGACTATAGATAATAGCTCCTGCATCTGCCTTGGATCTCCCAGAGAACTAGATACATTGGTACTGTATCCGTACTGCACCTACCAACGACCGATTTAGAGATAGCTGCATACACGCATACACCATCAAGTTATCAAACCTCCCGCTAGCGTCCTGCAGCACACCTCCTCCTTATTGCAAATACCTACCTAGGAACGGCACCTTGGTCCAGCAGGTAGGTATCACTGCAACAGCGGCACGACGATGGCAAGGGGCAATCTGATAGGGGACTGCAGCAGAGGAGGCGAGCTTCATCAGCACCTCAGCGAGGCGATCTGGTAAATTGGCAGAAGAGGGACTCGGAGATTCGCATTTCAAGTGGGTGCCGCTCTTCCATGCTGCAAAATCCATTGGCCAGGGCAGAAAAGTCGCAGCTGTTCCGCCCTGAGCTCAAATGCTCGCGGGAAGGGGGAACCGGACGGCCGATGGGATTGGGCTTTCAATTTACATAGTACCGCCTTCTGGGAGGCCACTCGCGCGATTGCCATGTATCTCATCATACTGATCTCTACGCAGAGTTACATTCCCGCATAACTGCCGGGGACCGCGGGACATTCACAGCATGGTGTAATGGGTAGGCACAGAGGATAGGGGACAGGGGACAGCCAGGCCCCCCCGTCCAACAGGAATGCCCGCGCAAGAAGACGCGCCGAGAAGACGGCGAGACTCAGACAGCCAACCGCCAACCAGCAGCCAGAGGAGACCCGTGGACGACTCGAAGGTGGTGTCGCGGCTCAGGAACGGCGCCGTGCCTGTGCAAATCCAATCCACCTCAGTGTGAGCGAGACCCCTGACTAGGAGCCCATTAGCCGGCGCTGCTAAGGGGATACGCATGGTTCGTGGCAAACTCCAGGCCGACCTCGCGCAGCGGGACATGTAGCCGCCTAATGCGCCACAGGAACCTCACCGTTGCTTTTCTGGCCCGCAACATCTGATGGATCCTACTGCATAGTACTAGGTGCTAGTCAGGAGGAGAGGGTCCCTCTTCTTCTCATCGAAGATCTTAGCCAGATTCTCCCACCTCACCTCGCTCTCTCTGGGCAGCCCAGCACGGATTCTGACTCCGAAAAAGGATCAGGTCACCAGGATCGCATGCGGTCTGGGCCGCGTCGACAAACAATCCAACGACAAGGGAAGCATAAACCGCAATTAAGGGAGCTGGGCCTTGCATCTTTCAACCATCTCGCACCTTCATTTCAACAAGCTCACGCCGCCTCCACCAGCCCCTGGGTTGCATCAACTCCCCTCATCTCCAGCTCTGATTACCGCAAATAACGGTTCATGTGCTCCACGGCGTGCTACGTATCTCGAGTCTCCCATCATCAAAGCTGCTGCCGCGCCTGCCAAAGACATCTGCGTCGCCCGTCGTCATCCGTCTCAGTCCAAGCCCCGAGCATCCTCTAGACTGGTCTCGGACAAGCACCAGATCGTCCAAGAACATGACGAACCAACAGGTGCGGTAGAAGCCGGCGATCTAGGTCGTGTCTTCAGACCTGCTCTCGAGGGGAGAAACATTCCGCATCCTCATTAAGCAAACCAACCCCGGCCCGAAACAACATTGGAAGATGGGGTCCCTGAGATTCTTCTCTGCTTCTCTTCGTTCCTAATTACCTTGCCCCATGTCATGTTGAAACATGCAGGGCTCCAGAGATAGTGCCGCGCCGCCCCAAACTGCTTCTCTCTCTTTTTTTTTTTTCTGCCTCCCCTCACGTCTGTCGTAGCATTCCTCCGACGTCCAAACTTAAGCTGCAGAAACCCTGCTCCGCCTCACCTCGCCCGCGCACTCCCATCCGAAGGTGTGAGGTATCCTGTATCCTGCACAACCAGAGCTGCAAAAGCCGCAGGGCGCTAGCAATCTGCAAGCACCGGCGGACAAAGTGGACGTCACCCAGACGTTGCGCACGGCGACCAGCAGCCACAGAAGCAGCAACACAAGCGCTATCTCGATCGACGTCCCGTCGTCTAGCAGCTCTTCGTCTGAGAGGGGGACCAAATGCAATGGTGAAGGAGGGCTGCGCTAGCGCGCTTTGCGATGGGAGACAAAAAAGCCGGCGGCAGTTTCGTGTGGCAGCCGTTCTTCGCCGTTTGACTGGCTAGCGGTTTCTTGATTCTCTTTTGCTTCTTCTTGTCTCTTCCGCTCCCGGCGTGTTCAGCTAACATGGACTGGACGCTTGCCTTTTCCGCTTGAGTCGGTCATCGTTCGTCCTTCCCACCACCACCAACACACCTTCCTGGGCGGTTGTAGCATGGGTCACGCTGCCACGTTCCACGCCGTTTCCAGCTTAGCGCTTGAGCCCTCCGATTCTGGTGTGTTCTCGCGCTCTCTCTCTCAGCTGTTGCTGTTGGAGTTTCTACCCCATGATTTGGCGGAACTTAGAAGTGCAACGGCTAGAGCCCATAATACGGGTACCTCCGTAATGTCGTAAAGGCGCCCTGGTCCCCGTTATCGTCCAGGACCGCCGGACTTGGCGCCTTCCATTCTGAAGTGTCATCCGTGTCATCCAATCTTCATGTTCCAACGAGAGGGGTTGTTGGGGCAGCATTGGAAGTGAACCTTCTGAAGCAGGTTTACTAATGAGCGGCGGTGGTTCCTCCAGCTGTCGTTCAAGCTTTCCGCCCCCAATATCACACAACCTGACTCTTGCAAGAACCCCACCGCACGATAGGCGACGTCGATTCGGCGTGCGAAAACTGGTCCGTATTTGGCCCACCTTCGCCGCCTCTCTCACCAACCACCAGTTGAGGATCCACACGATGTGTTTCCTTCAATCCACGGCAAGATGGCCGAGCGGTCTAAGGCGCTAGCTTCAGGTGCTAGTCTAGAAATAGGCGAGGGTTCGAATCCCTCTCTTGTCACACCAACACGACGCTGTTCGGGCGTTATCTTTTGCTGTTGATCGTGAGGTTTTTGGTGTTGATGTTTGAGACGGCGTTGTGAGACTCTCAGTGAGTTTGGGTTTGAGGGGTGCGCTGGGCGCAGGTGCTGCCGTTCCGTTGGCGCAGACAGGATGCGAATCCGATAACGATTAGCATCGAAAAGACGCTAGCTCGATGTCTATTGCTATCATGATTCCTCAGACAATTTCAGCAACGTCACATCGAAAGCGGCTCATCTCAATTCTTTGGCCTGAAGCCAGCGGTGGTGCAGTGAAAATTGAGTGTGGCTTGAGCGTCACTTGCACCCCACATGGCGCCTGTCCATTCTCAGTCTCACTGTGACTTCAGCTTCCTAAAAACCCATCCTTTTGACCTGGACATGAGCGCTTACCTGATGAGCTGCGATTTGACGGTAAAGCTGATTCGACTTGCAGAGAAGCTTCTCGGGACTTCGTATAGATCAGGACCGTATTCCAGTCCAGCAACGGCCCCACCGCGCTTCAGCTTGGCATGGATCTAGGGCAAGCAGAGCAAGCCTTAGACTCAGCTGCCCCAGGTCTCGGGTTGGCGGTTCCCTCTTTCGAACGTCCCCGAGGTTTCGATATCTTCCCGGCCAAGCCGTGGAATCTTGCATTCTTTCCCGCACAGACGATGGCGTACGGCGGGCCGGATTGGCCTATCAAACCGAGAAAAACTCTGCTTGCAGAGAAGTCTGTCAATTGTGCGTGGAACAGAACGCCCCGCGCTTCGTCTGCCGGCCGAGCGGCCAGGCAGGAAACCCTCGGACCTGGCATCAAGACCAAGCGGGCCCGGCTTCCTTCAGCTTGATACGGCGTCTTTGAGACGGTCGATACAGTCAGCC